CCAACCAAGTTTGGACTTCCGGATGCTGCTGACCTTGATATTTTCGATGAAACTGACACAGCTGTCGAAGAAGACATTTTTCTGGAGTTACTGGAGGCCCAACCAGACCTATGCCTGACAATACGTGAAAAGATTTCAGATGAAGGTAAATGTTATCATAACTTAAATTTTCAGAGTATAGCCCACTCAATGTAGAGCCAAGTTCTTTTGCTCTTGATGCAGATGACATTGACCTGTCTTCATGCAATATACATGACAGTGGACAGGGCTGGGTCATATTTGTATAGAATGTTGTCTGAACATGAACATTGAAATTGTGTTATTAATGGCATTGTGGAGTAGCCTAAAGAAAGTTAACCAAATCATCTCTCCCAAAGATTTTTGTCCTTTAGCTCATTCCACACCATCCTCCTCGGATACATTATCTTCCCTCACGGACACTATATCACTTTCATCAAGTGACAGTGACCTCAGGGAAAAGGGCATTCCTGCAGGCCGCAGTAGATCCAGCAAAGACAGTTCTGCACCAAATGTTTCTGTGTCAGAGGCTGCAAAAGAGGTAATTGAGAACAGAAAATGTCTTTTGTATTTTTGAGTTGACACCATTTATACTGTAGATTGTTATACAAATTGAAATTCAAAACATGGTGGTTCCCAACTTGCCCTGTATGAAAAAATGTTAGTAGAAGTTAGTGCTTCTTGCTAGATATGTCTTTCACAGGTTTGTTGACATTCCTCTAAACTTTCACCTTTACTGACAAACAAGTTTTTATTGTTATTATTTTCCCTTTTATATGAGCAGATGGTTAAAAATGCCTTGACTAGGAAACCTGGTGGAGAGGAAATTCTTGAAGAATACAATGCCGAAAATTCACTGAGCCACCGCACCCGGCGGCAGCTTGTTAACATATTGGCAAGTGATATGACTGAGAGACATGGGTAAGAGTAATAGTACCTAATAAAAAAGTAAAGATGGGCCATATGGAATATTCTTGTAATGTATACTGCAGTAAAGACACATACTTCTGATTTAACATTGTCAATTGTATTTCCTCTATAGCAGAATTCCCTCCCGTAAGCAAAAGGAGAAATATGCCCTTGGAATAATTACACTCTTTCCCTCATTGAAGGATCCATTTTCTCCAAACGGCTATGTAAGTCATGCAGTGATTGTAAAACAGCACATTATTTAGTTTTCATCATGGAATAATTACATCAGCTAAATGATTTAAAAGAAAAATCTTAATTCCTCTTTCGTAATAACTATTGTCATAAAACTGTATTGAAATTGTGGATGTTGTTTAACATGTATTGCACCTGTTACATGATAATAGTCCTTGGGTTTCTTTTTGCTGAATCTGCAAAGTCTGTAAGATCGCATTTGATGTTTATTTTTCATCTATGTTTAAATGTGACAGGAGCATTTCTACGACGGAGTGAAAGGCACTGGATATTTAGCGTGGCGCCTCAAAACCATGTCCAGGTCTACAACCAAACGGCCAGTGAAGGAAGTCCCAGTGCATCAAGAACAAGGGCCTAAGCGCAGAAGATTAGCAACCACATTGCCTCAGCAACTTGATGGAGATGCCTGCAAGGAGGCCATCTCATTTCTTGTTCACTCTCCTGATGAAGCAAGTGTATTTCAGAAGATGAAAATGACGTTCCAACATCGCCAGGATCTGGTGCATGATCCACAAAGAACTGCAGATGTCTTCAAAACATTTCCACGCTTTTTGGATGTCAAAGGACTAGTAAGTCAAATCACTTGATATTTTCAACTGTTAATCCTTTTTTTTTGTTTTGCTGATGTGGATGGCAACAGTAAAAGATGTGATCATTGGTCATCCCAGTCAGGCTATATCCCATATTGGTCAAAATCACATTGCAATGTAAACAATGTTGAGCACTGTCTCTATGTCCTGTGTGTATGATGAACAGGTCAATCAAGACTTCCTGCTGCTGTTTGGTGCTGAAACAGCCACCAAGTTGCTTGAGAAGTGGGACATGTCATTCAAGCCAAAGGTTATTAAAGAAGCCAAACAGCTGACTCAGTCAACTGACCTGTGTCGTTTGATAAAAGCTGCTGAGAAACCAACAGAGAGTGATGCAAATGGTAGGCGTCGCACCATGCTTGTTTGATTTTAATAATATTTATTTTTACCTGTCATTTTGAAATTGTTTTATAAATTCAACCATACACAGACTGGGACAGTGACATGGCCTCTCTGCTGCTACTCCTTCAACTTTTGCCACCCACAGCTGGACGAAAGAGGAGAACCAAAATAAGTCCAACTGATGCAGCACACAAAATGGTGCACTTTCACAAGGTAAATATGTTGTCTCACTTTTTAAAATCCTACAAAACACTTTTTCAGTTTTTGCACTTTTTAGTTTTCCTCTCCATGAAGTATGTGTCTTAGTATTTTGTAATAAGTTAGCAAGGCACATAATGTCAAACTGAATGAATGGTTCATACTCAGCAAGTATAAGCTAGGCCTATATGTCAATATCTCATTTGTTTTTAGTCATGCTGCAGCATTGATGAACACTTGCAAGCAAGAGATGGTAAACAACCATACATCCTCGCTGTTGGTCGAACCCAGAACAGCATTGACACCTTCTACATCGCAGTGGACAAACAGCTCATCCCCTGCCAAGCCACCAGCTCACTCAGTGCTTTTGATGAACTTTTCAAATCCCACTACGTGTTCAACTTATCTTACGACGAGTCACTGGTTCATCTCTACAGTTTTGTGCAGACCACCATATTCAACATTGATGCCACCTCAACAGATGAGTCACCACGTGTTCGTGAGTTGCGTGCCAAAATGTTGAATGAGAACCATGTTTAAATGTTTTATCTGTCAAACTCTGCATAGCACCAGTCAGGCTTTGATAAGTCATTTGCGACTAGGTCACAGTTTTTATCCAAGCACCAAATTTAAGTTGGCTTGTTCACAAGATGGTTGCAGCCGTCAGTTCACTACATATTCTGGTTTAAAAAAACATTTAAATAGTGTTCATGATGAAGATTGTTGTCAAAGTGGTGATGCAGAACCCTCAGAGTCATTTCAAGCTGATTTTGACAGATTACAAGATACAGACATAGCAGTTGCAGGAACAAGTGTTACTCAGAGCCTAGAGGTTGGGTGTTCTGAAAACAATGGGTCAGGTCAAAGAATTAAGAAAAATTCTGAAGCAATTTGCACTAAAATTATTGGTAAACTCAATGGTAGTGGTTTGGCAAATAGTTTTGTGTCATCACTTGTTTGTGATTTGGAAGATTTTGCTGATGGACTGCACTGTGAGTTTAAACATAAAGTACTGAACGTTGTGCCAACAGAAAATCCTGTTAGATCTCCAGTGGAAAAATGTCTTGAGACTTTTGACAATCCAGTTGAGAAGTTCGACACTGAAGCTAAAAGAAAGTCATATTTCCGTGAAAAATGGGGAATTGTGGATCCAGTGGAAAAGACTTTAGGAATACGCTATGATACAAGGTTAAATAAAAAATCAGGCACTTATGACCAGGTACCAGTAAAAGACACTTTTGTGTACATTCCAATTTTGGAAACAATCAAATTTATATGTCGCAATTCTTATATTTGCGAGCTGCTTGCTAAACCATGTGTATCAAAAGAAGACAGATATGAAGACTTTTGTGATGGGAGTTACTATAAGTCTCATCCATTGTTTTCAAAACCACAGACTTCTTTGCAAATTCAGCTTTATTATGATGACTTTGAGACTGCTAATCCACTTGGTTCCAAACGTGGTGTTCACAAAGTTGGTGCAATCTATTTTGTCCTCAGAAATCTGCCTCCAAAGTTAAATTCTGCATTGATGAACATTCATTTGGTTGCATTGTTTCATGCAGAAGATGTGAAAAAATACGGCTTTGATCCTATTTTACAGCCTCTGATTGATGACATAAAGTTTTTGGAGAGCCATGGCATTGATTTACCCTTCTCATCTGAAAAGGTCCATGGCACTATATGTCAGATAACTGGGGACAACTTGGGGATGCACTCAATTTTGGGTTTTGTTGAGTCTTTCAGTGGACGTTACTTTTGTCGTTTGTGTTTAATTGCAAAACAGGATGCACAGAGTGTGTATACTGAGGATGATCCAAAGATCATCTTACGAGGGAAAGAACTTTTTGAAATGCACTGCAGTGAGTTGCAATCTGATCCTCAAAAGCTACATGTGTTTGGCTTAAGAAAGAATTCTACACTGAACACTCTTCAATTCTTTCATGTTTGCCAGAACTTTTCCTTGGACATTATGCATGATATTCTCGAAGGGGTAGCACAATATGAGATAAAGTTACTGTTGGAATATCTGTCAGACAATTTTCTGCCGAAACCTGCTCTTTTGTCACGGATCTATGCTTTTGACTATGGCTACTTGGAGAGCAAAAATCGTCCAACAAGGGTGAACTTAGACAGTAGTGGTAATAGTATAGGTCTTAACTCCATTCAGACTCTTTGTCTGATAAGAAACATTCCTTTAATTTTTGGTGATATTGTGCCAGAAGGAAATCAGAACTGGACTATGCTATTGCTATTGTTGCAAATAATTAACATCATATTCTCTCCATCTGTTACACATGGCATGACTGTGCTTCTAAAACATTTAACAATGGAACATCATGACTTGTTCAAATTGTTGTATCCAGGTAGGAACATGATTCCCAAACACCACTTTATGTTGCACTACCCAACTTGCATCAGAAAAATTGGGCCATTATTGCATGTATGGAGCATGAGAGGTGAGGCTAAACATAGGGTGTTCAAAGACACCCTTAAGAACTTTAAGAACATCACAGTGTCACTTGCCAAAAAACATCAAACATCCATAGCATACAAGTGGGAGACATGTCCTTTAAGCCATGTTGAGTATGGGCCCTTGAAATCATTTGATGTTGATAGTGAGGAAAATAGTGAAATGATCTCCCTAGGCTTGCCTGCTGTTGCAGAAGAGGCTTTCTCTGCTAATTGGGTTAACATTAATGGGACTGAGTACAGAACAGGATTGGTCATTTGTTGTGGTTCTGAACATGAGATGCCGGTGTTTTGCAGAATAAAAACAATAGTTTTGGTCAATAGTCACACCTACTTCATAGTTCAGAAGCTTGTGGTTGAAAATTTCAGTGAACATTGCCATGCTTATAAAGTGTTTGAAACGGATGAAAAAGATGTTGTTAAAGCAGACTGTATTGAAATATACAAGCCCTTTGATTTGCAAAGTGCTTATGGTGATGATGATGGTCTGTACATTGTGCCATTATTTTTGTTGTGAACGTATGCTGTATGGTGCTTGGAATTTAATATTTATTAAAATGCTTATGTGACCAATTTTATGTTTTCTCCTTTTATCCTGTAAAGGGACTTAACAAGGATTTTCACTGAATGTAACACAGTAGTCATACAGTAATTGCACTTTAATGCATTTTTGTATTCAGACAATTAATACAGACTAGTATTTAAAAGCTCATATATGTCACTTTAAAGTGCCAAAATAACACTGTAAAAGTTACAGAATAACACTCTAAGTGAAAACAGTCAACACAATCCAGTGTGAAAATAAACACTTAAAAGTGTCATAAATAACACCATAGTTGTTGTGTAGTAACACCCTCAGTGAAAAGAGTTAACCCAAGCCAGTGTAAAAGTGAACACTTATCAGTGTCCTAAAACAACACTATAAATGTTAGGTAGTTACACTCTGAGTGAAGACACTTCACACCATACAGAGTGAAATTTTAACACTATGGGTGTTATATTTTTAACACTACAATGGAGTTAAAATAATAACACTTTGCAAAGTGTTACTTTAACTCTAAACCAGTGAGAATTATATAAACACTGGAAAAGTGTTAACTTTAACACTATAGGAGTTGAATTAACACTGGAGATTTTGCTGTGTATGGGCTTGGAGTTGGCCTAGAGTTGGCCGCTAACTATATACATATATATGTGTGTGTGTGTATATATGTATTTTCAGGTCAGGTATTCCTCATCTTCCTCTTGTCAATACCCTTACACATTCTCTATTAGTTTCATTTCAAGTGACTGTTCTGGAAAATCAAACACAGCAATAACATGGTCAATTATTTAAGATAAGATAACCTTTATTAGTTTATTTGACCCACATGTGGGATATTTGAAATGTGTTGTTTGATAGTAGTTTTAGCCCTGTGAGAAAGTCCTAAGCCCTGCTGGAAAAGGAAATCCGAATCTGAGCTTGTCAGCAGATGACACAAACGTCTCTAAAATCTCCTGGTAGAAGGCTGCATTGACTTTGGATTTGATAAAATGCAGTGGACACATTTGTGTTTCAGTGTTATAACTTTTCTTTTTTTTTCCTTCCCTAAAATTCAACAGACACCTGCATATTCTGCTGCTGAACTGAACAAAATAAAAGCATGGCAGGATCAGCATATAGGTCTGGTAAGTGCACAAAATATATATATTTTTGGGGTTGTTTGTTTTTTAAGTTAAAGAAACTTATTCAAATGTATTCATATTAGTCATAAATAAAATAATACCTAAAATGCTCCTTTTTGAGTTTTACAGCAGCTGCTAAATTTTTTTGTGACAAATTAACTGAATATTTTTCAGAGAGTGATCCACCATGAATATGAACTTGAAAATATTTGTTTAGCGCTCTGAAGTCTATTTCAATTTAAACAATGATTTAAAAATAATAATAATAATAATAATAAAAGAAAATTGATTTGTAACAGTGTTTAATCATAATGTTTCTTGTGTCCACTTCAGCATCCGAACTCAGGATTGTGATATTTGGAAAAAACCAACATGAAAAGGCAACTTTAAGTAACTTGATCACTGGTAAAAGAGATTCTCATCCTCTAAAAATATTCAAGAAATCCATTGCTCAAGGACAATGGGGAAAAATGCCCACAACAGTGGTGAAAACCTCAGACATCTTCAGTCTTCCTGTGGAAAAAGTCAGACATGAGATGAAGATGTGTGTGGCACGTTGTCACCCTGGGCCAAATGTCCTGCTGCTGTTAGTGAAACCTTCAGATTTCACAAAGGAAGACAGACAAACGCTGAAGTTCATCTTGAGTTTGTTTGGTCCAGATGCGCTTAAATATTCAATGGTCATCATAACACAAAAGGATGAAGAAAAGAATGTGGCAGTCGATCAATTTATCCAGGACTGCGGACAAAGACAACATAAATTCAACTTTGACAAAAAAAACATTGACTTTGATTTTGAAATACTGATGGAAAAGATCAGTCAAATTGTGACTGCCAACAGAGGAGGACATCTAAATTTTTCTGAAAGCGCAGAGCACCTTGAAATACCTGAAATGCCAAAATCAAAAAATTTAGCACTATTTGGGAAATGGGAAGATGGGATTGAAGAATCTGAGAAACCAAAGCCTCCTGTGAAGTTAGTAATTTGTGAGAGACCTAAAATTCCAAATCTGAAACCTATGAATTTGGTACTGTGTGGGAGGTTTAGAGTTGGGAAGGCATCAACTGCCAGTGCCATTTTGGGAGACAAAAAAATAGAATCTAATTCATCAGCGTGTGATAAAAATGAGGCAAAGGTGTGTGGTCGACTGGTTTCAGTAGTGGAACTGCCTGCTCTCCATGGAAAATCTCAGGAGGAAGCAGTTAGTGAAGCAATCAAGACAGTTTCTCTCTGTGATCCTGAGGGTGTCCACGCTTTCATCCTAGTTCAACCCTTGGATCACCTTACTGATGAAGACAAGAGTGAGGTGGAGACCTTCAAACAAATAATGAGCTCTAAAGTCAAGGACTTTACAATGGTTCTTTTTACTGTGGAGACCGATCCTACACACCCAGGTATTGTTCACTTTTTAAAAATGAACACAGAGATCAAAGAGCTCTGCGAGAGTTTCAGTGGCCGATATGTTATCCTCAACATCAAGGACAGACAGCAGATCCCTCAGTTATTGGATGCTGTGGAAGAGATGAAAACACCATTTAAAGGCTTCAAAAAAGAAATTATTGAAAACCCTTTCATGCACAAAAGCGCAGGAGATAAATCCAAAATGGGAGAGTCAAGATTTGAAAAAAAGAGCCAGGACTGTCTCAGGATTGTGATGATTGGGAAAACTGGAAGTGGAAAGAGTGCCACTGGAAACACTATTTTGGGAAAAGAACACTTCCATTCGAAACCCAGTGCGGAATCAGTGACCGTGGATTGCAAAAAAGTAACAGGAGAGATTGATGGGCGCTCTGTTGCTGTGGTGGACACACCTGGTTTATATGACACGAAGCTGTCCAATGATAAAATTAAACAGGAACTCAGGAAAGGTCTCACAATGATGGCTCCTGGACCTCATGCGTTCTTACTTGTCTTGCAGATTGGTCGCTTTACGGAGGAGGAAAGAAAAACTGTGGAGCTCATCAAAGGTGCTTTTGGCAAGAATTCAAATGACTTCATCATTATCTTATTCACCAGAGGAGATGACCTAAAAAATCAAACAGTTGAGAGTTATATAGAAGAAGACAGCAAAGGATTCCTTAAAAAACTGACAGCTGATTGTGGAGGACGATACCATGTGTTCAATAACAATGATCCAAGTAACCGCTCTCAAGTCAGTCAGCTGCTCACCAAGATTGAGTCAATGGTGAAGAAAAATGGTGGCGGCTACTACACCTCAGAAATGTTCAAAGAGGCAGATGCAGCAATTCAGAAGGAAATGCAGAAGATTATGAAGAAGAAAGAAGAAGAGATAGAAAGACAGAAGAAGGACCTTGAGAAAGAACATGAAAAGAAATTCCAAGAGGCGCAGCTTAAAATTGAACAAGAAAGAGCTGCAAGAGAAAAAGCATTGCAAGAGAAGGAAGAACTCATTAAGAAAGAGGAAGAGGAGAAGAAAAGGATGGAGGAAAAGAGAGCAGAAGAGGAAAAAGAGAGGAAACAGAGGGAAGAAATTCAGCAACACCCGTGGAAACAAAAGGGGAATAAAATTCAATCTGAATCAAAAGAAAAGACAATTACGGGCCAAGATTTGATACAAAATTCAGAGAACATCAGAAAAGAAAGTGAAGTTTGGGGAAAAGAACCAAAAGAGTGGCAGAAGAAACGACTTCAAGATGGCCAACACAGATTGAAGGAGCAAACACGACTGAAAAGGCTCAGAGAAGAATATGAACAGGAAAAGAAAGAATATCAAATCCGAAAAGAACAGGAGGAAAAAGAATGGCAAGAATTACATGAAAACTTTCAAAAGCAAGTGGAGGAAATGATGAAGAAAAATCAAGAGGAAGCCAGAAAACAAGCAGAGTTTAATGAATTCAAACAGAGATTAACAGCTGACTTTGCAGTTGTGGTAGCTACAAAAGAAAGAGAAATTGAAAATATGAAGCTAAAACAACAAAAAACCAATGGCTTCATGATTCAACAGCTGTGCCGAAAAAAGGAAAATAAGAAGGACTTGGATCAAATGAATAAGCGACAAGAAAAAGAAATAAATGAGCTTAAACATTCTTGTCAAGCCGTAAAACAAATTGATGAACTGCAGAAACAACATGAGGACGAAATAGATAAGTGGATCCAGGAACATGTGGAGAAAGCCGGAGAACAACAATTTTGTAAAGTTTTATAAAACATTTTCTGACAGCAGATTTTAAATGGGAGCAAATGTGTTTTAGTTTGATATTTCCCTATAAATTGTGAATATAATATTTTCTTTTTTTTCTAATTTTGAGAAAGATTAAAATGGTTAATTCTCTATGTATTCAACTACCATTAAAGTTATAACTTTCTCTCCATTAATTTGGACAAGAATTTTAAAAATGACATCCTGGAGGTAATAACAAGATGGTTGCCAAGTGACAAGACTTACCTCCAATAAGCCTTGGCAGTTGATAAAGACAACTGAGTTATTTTATGAGTTAATACTTTCTGAGGCAGCTGTCCACAAAGATAACCTGTTTCTTATGTGGCCCCTTGGGAAAATTAATTGCCGACACCTTCAGGAATGTCATACTGTTATTGCTTCAAAATAAGAAGTAATACACTTCCATTATAATAGTTGTAGATTTTATAATGTCAGGCATAGGAGGAATCTTGCAAAGATGCCCAAATTATTTGAAATCAGTTTTGCTGAGACTGATAGTGACAGTGTCCAAACAATTATTAGCTTAGTGCAGCTAAGGCCAGCTGCATCAAAGATACCAAACCACACCAGACCATATGGTCATTCATCAGAAACTTTATTATTTGCATCTTGTAATAATACAAAAATTATTTTCTAAGGAAAGAATGTACATATTTCTTGCTATTCTAGCTCGAATCCTTGATGTATAGTGTGCCAGTGTATAGCAGAACTGTCTTAACAATTTTCCAGTTGCTACTGCATCATAATACATTTGAAGCATACCTTAGAAGCAAGTGCTGAACTTCAGACAGTATAGCTAAATGAGCATTCTATTGTTTTAATCATGTTACATGTAAAGAGGCAAGGAGATCTTTGCAAAATCCTATTTCTTTTTTTCTCCATTTTCATTATATACACTTAGCAGAAGTTTAATAATAAACCAAGTGCACTTTTATTCTTAGGTGAAGTTCAAATTACAAACCCGTAACCTGAAATTCATTGGTATATTACAATATACCGATGTCATTACATCTCTGTGTAAAGTGTGAAAATGTTTGGGTTTTTTTTACCTAGTATTTACGATTATCAGCAGGTTTTTCATAATAAGTTCAAAGGTATGTCTCATCTGCACTCCTGCATTTGAATCGCACGGTATGGGGTTTGATTAGAAACAACTGCAAGACAGTCATTGTGAAAAAAAAATGTAAATGATAGATTCCCTGTAAACAGAATAAAAAATGGCACCATACTAATTCAACTGTGGTTGTGTTTTTCGTTTTTCGTAATAAATTTTCATCTCTAAAAATTGGGAAGGAGAAGAAAAAACCCAAAAGCTTAATTCTCTTAGATCTCTACTCTACTGGACAAGAAAAAGAAAGATGGATAGAGATGTATCAAAAATGGAGAAATAAAAAAGTATATGCAAAAGTTTAACCTTAGTTTTCTTCAACTAAAAGAAACAAACAACTCCTGCAGCTAGAAAACACTAGGATATAAATAATTACATTGTACATATTATTAAGGAAATTTCTGTTGACTTTAATAAATTAATATATACATACTAAAATACATGAATAAATGAAAAGGAGTGAAAACCTCAGACATTACCAGTAGATAAAGTTAAAAACCACATGAAGAAATTTGTGGTTTATTGTCTTCGCTGGACCAAAGGTTTGGCTGTAGTGATGTGAAACCTAATTTCAGGGCAATACGGTTGTGTCTATTTTGGTGTAGATCATTTTAAATACTGCACTGCTGGCAAAGACAAGGAATCAACTAAACCAATCATCAAAACCAGCACACCCAATCTTTGTCTACATTAGACTAAAACATGCCCTATCATGATACTATATGTGGCTCTGAATCTGAACTTTGCAGCTGAAACTCTCATTCATGTCTTCATTAACTCCTGCCTGGACTGCTGCAATGCAAAGCCCTGGACATGTTCTATGTTCAGGACACAGCTGTCAGAATTGTTACCCACAGCAAGTCCTAACAACCTACAAAATGTAACTACAAAGTCTCCTGGTCTTCTGTATCTCCTACAAAATCCTTCTCCTCTTCTACAAATCCTGACACACCCCTGCTCCCCAGTACTTACTGGATCTCCCCTACACTGCATCTTAGACTCTAAGATTTTAACTAAGTCACCCATTCTCCATCCCATACATAAGACAGGTCTTTTGGGGCAAAGCCTTTAGTGCTGCCCACTCCCTGAAACATGCTCCCGTGACCTGTTCATTGAGAAATTTGGCCTTTGACTATTTTCTTTTTCTTTTTTGTTTATAAAGATAAATTTACATTGTGCTTAATATGCAAAAAGCTAAGAGATAAGGAAGGGAGCTAATACATAGTGCGTTTCAAGAAATCCAAACTGCTGTTGTTAGTAGTCGTATCAGTATTAGTATTACATTATTTAGATCTATTTTGAAATTTAGCTGGTGAAGCAATCTATGAAAATATAACAAAGAACTCCAACCATCCATTATCCTTGTCAGGGTCATGGGGTGAGGGCTGGAGCCTATCCCAGCTGTCTTAGGGGGAAAGGCAGGTTACACCCTGGACAGGCTAACACTGCGGTCCCCAACCTTTTTTGCACCACGGACCGGTTTATGTTCAACAATATTTTTATGGACCGGTCTTTAAGGTGTCGCGGATAAATACAACAAAATAAAACGAGTACCGGTACCAAAAATAAATAAATAAAATGTATTCATGACACACAGGAAAAGACACAGGGAAACTGAGGTAACGATAAAAACAATGAATATTAATGATAAAACAAAAAAAACCTGTAAACCATAAATTTCACACCTGGACCTCAACACTCGCGGCCCGGTACCAAACGACTCATGGACTGATACCGGTGCATGGCCTCGGGGTTGGGGACCGCTGAGCTAACACATAGAAACAGACAACCATTCACACTCACACCCACATTCATACCTATGAGTCTCCAATTGACCTAACCCCACTGACTGCGTGTCTTTGGGAGGAAGCCGGAGTATCCGGAGAGAACCCACGCAAACACAGGGAGAACATGCATGCTCCACACAGAAAGGCCCCGGCGTGATGTTGGAACTGACCTCAGAACTTTCTTGCTTTGAGGCAACAGTGCTAATCACTGTGCCACCGCGCTGAATCAGATTTAAAAAATAGAGAAAATACACTAGACATTGTTCAGCTTTTTGTTTGTACATGTATATTGTTTTTGTTTATGGTAAATCGTGACAGTAACACTATAAATGCAAAGAATGTCCAATGATTTTAGCTAAGCATAACTTATCATTTATACAAGTTTATACATATTTACCTTACCTTGACATTTATTATAGAAAAAGTTGAACTAAGGTTTGTGCTTATAACTCACTAACAGGTGTTAGTGAGATTCGTCTTAAAACAAAAGGTCACAGACAGAGTAGAATCTCAGTCCAACCCAATAATTAAAGGTGGTTTTTTTTCTGAAAAAAGCACCACGTCTTGGTGACACCTTTTAGTGTATGCATAGTAAAATATATTCCGTGATTAGGTGTCTTTTTGTAATATTTCTGGGAAAATTATATTTACATTTTTAAAGGAAATCCAAATCAAATTTTATACAGAACCAGTCTAAAAAACTTGCCTTTGTTTTAAGTTACTCAATATAAACATGCAACAGTATAAGTAACTGTTCATTGTGTGCTTTGAATCTACACTGTGAAAAATGAATACAAATAACATGTAAGACTTGCACCTACCTGTACTGTACAACCATCATGTTCTGCTCCCCACAGTGTCTCGCACAGCGAATATACCTCATCCAGCTGGATTTACTGGGATCATTACCATCGATGAAGTGCTGTAACGTTCCCTCTGAATCGTAGATCTGGAAACACAAATGATCAGAGTTGAAAACAGAGACATTAATTCAGGATAGTATTGATATATCTGAAAACAGACACCCTTCAGAGTTAGAGGTAGTACATGTATCTTTTTCATCCATAAAAGAAAAAATGTCAGATACGAATTACACACAACTAACTTTTTAGTGACTGTAATTGTAGCTACTGTAATAACACCTTGACTGTAAATGTTAATTGTATAGATTGATATACGTATTTAAATCTACTTTTACCAGTCAAATAATTTAGCTCATTTTCCAAATTGGCAGTGAAACCAACCTTACTTAACTAGGGCAGAAAAATGTTAAATATAATAATTATTAGTTTTAATTATTTAATTATTTTTATTATATATTATAATCTTAATCTTAGGGCAGCACAGTGGCACGGTGGTTAGCACTGTTGCCGCACAGCAAGAAGGTCCTGAGTTCAATTCCACCATCAGGCCGGGGTCTTTCTGTGTGGAGTTTGCATGTTCTCCCCGTGTTTGCGTGGGTTCTCTCCGGGTACTCCGGCTTCCTCCCACCGTCCAAAGACATGCACTTAGTGGGGATAGGTTAATTGATTAATCCAAATTGCCCATAGGTGTGAATGTGCGAGTGAATGTGAGTGCAAATGGTTGTCTGTCTCTGTGTGTTGGCCCTGCGACAGACTGGTGACCTGTCCAGGGTGTACCCCGCCTCTCGCCCCATGACAGCTGGGATAGACTCCCGCAACCCTGAAAAGGATAAGCGGACGCGAATGGATGGATGGATGGATTATAATCTTATAGCTCAGTGTAAATCCAATTCAAAATAAATCTGAATTTGTATATTTGCCATTACAATCGTATCCTGTTAAAAATCAGGTAATAATAAACAAGGTTATTAAAGTTAACTAAAACTAAAGACTCAAACTAGAAATAACCACTCTTTGTGTGATGGTTTGACCTTTAGGGATGTTTAGGCGTTTTGTAGTTTTGGTTAACATAAACAGTAAAGCAGGAGGACGAACGCTAATGAACGGAGGACTTTTTTCCACTCGAGAAAAGTTCGTGTGAGGGTTCCCAATGGTTAGGGGCAAATGCAATCGCATGGCAGCATGCTGTAAACGGACCAAACGTCAGTCAGGAGAACCACCGAGATAATCCATCCACAATACGAGGTTAGTCATTTATATACTTCTGTGTGGGCTGGGCTGTAGTTACATCTTAAGGGTTTAAAAACTGAGCTATATAATGATTAACGGTAATAAAAACCGTGAGGAGTCGACATTGATCACTGACTGTTATTAGGGGCTTGTTGAGATTAAATCGAACAAGATACAAAGCATTAAACATATTAAAAACACAGCAGCCTCATTAAATGCAGACTACTTTGGGCCCGGAGGCAGGATTCATCACGTTACCGGTCATGGAGGCTAACAAGGGCTGCCCAAAGAACATGTGGATTAAGACATATCGCTTAAAAAAGTTTTGGTTCTTTACAACAAATGCTCTCAGTCGCTGTTGCCATTGGCAAGCAGTAGCCGCATAGACACCAGTTGGTTGCCCTCACTCTCTCATCCTCGTGCAACGGATTGTTTTCATCTTCATCTAAACTAGGTACTGGTAGACTATTTTCATTCTCTCTCGGTTTGCTCTGGTTCAAACTGGAAAGTGTCACGGGTTGCCGGGGCAAGCTGTGTGTGGATTATTTAGGACCCAAGATGCGGCAGCTCTGGTGCAAGTGAGTTTATTAACCAAATGTGGATACAACAGAGATGGCGGGGGTGAACATGAAACTAAGAAAACCTAAACTGGGAAAAACTAACAGAAACTAACCAGAAACAGAGATGCAGGGAGGCACAGGGAAATACACAGAATGACGGACGGAGAGACGCAGACGAACCAGCCACGAGGACGAGGTAACACATACTATAAATGCACACACCAGCAAACAGGAGGGCAACACACCTGGAAGACATCACAGCTGACGAGGCAGGGGAACGTAAACAGAACGCACTGACATCAGACAGGGACCTTCAAAGTAAAACAGGAACGCATACACGCAAAGACACAGACTAAGAAACGCGAACTAAACACAGAGACCTTACTACACAAAAGGGGATACACCGGCAGGGATGACACCAAACAGAGGGAACACAACTAAACTCTGGGAAACCAAAACACAACAGTCATAATACATAAAACTATCAAAAGTAAAAGTACAGCAACCAAAAACACTGGGTTACTGACCCAGGACCATGACAGAAAGGTTGAACAGAAACCATTTCCAGTGTGCTGTTAACTGTGAACTGGATGCGGTGCAACCGTATGACGTCACTACCCAGAGAAGTAAGTAACAAAAAGTTAGTAAGTAAGTAAGTTAAGAAGTAAATAAAAATGGCGGCCTACTGGTAAATCGGTTTTATATAAAATGTGCTTAAAAGGAAAACATTTGGCGTATTTTAATACCACATGTGTTACTGAAAGCACAGTACATATTTTAGGCAAACAACTCTTAATAGCCGGGGTTCCCTTTAAAAAGAAACATAAATTGTACATAGATGAGAATAAGATTTCTAATGAAATCTAGAAGATTATAAGGTGTGGGGCGATTGTGGCTCAAGAGTTGGGAGTTCGCCTTGTAATTAGAAGGTTGCCGGTTCGAGCCCCGGCTTGGACAGTCTCGGTCGTTGTGTCCTTGGGCAAGACACTTCACCCGTTGCCTATTGGTGGTGGTCAGAGGGCCCGGTGGTGCCAGTGTCTGGCAGCCTCGCCTCTGTCAGTGCGCCCCAGGGTGGCTGTGGCTACAATGTAGCTTGCCATCACCTGTGTGTGAATGTGTGTGTGAATGGGTGGATGACTGGATATGTAAAGTGCTTTGGGGTCCTTAGGGACTAGTAAAGCGCTATATAAATACAGACCATGAAATTTTGGAAGTGACAGTTCTAATAGGACATATTAGAACTGTCACTTCCAAAATTTCATCCAACATTGAAATTTATCTCGGTGTTTAAGATAGCATCTCTCGTGACAGGGAGTTGCAGATTCAAATGTGAACTGAAATGTTTTTTTGTTTTTTTTTGCTAATTTACGATTTATAGTCTGATGATGTATCAGCCTCTTTTCATAAGAATGAACCCTTGCAACTGAAAACGATAACGAGTTGTGCACTTGCAGCTCAGACAAATAACTTAATTTGATTTGAAATGTTTTAAACAAGCTTTTGCAACTACTCATTAGGCTCTTATCCACAGTCAGCTGGAGCTGTGATGATTACAGCCTGCTGGGCGTTAAACATTACACAGACCTGATTTACACCTGCTTAAAAGCCTTACAGCTCTGTCTGCCAGCTTTAACATCGAGGCCTAAAAATACTTTTTCACAGCAACAGTGGAAGGCTGCACATCAAATAAGAAAAATGGAGCTGAAACGTAAACCAAACAATGGTCCATTAAGAGGAAGAAGCAGCTTGCTTTTTTTCCTGTTGCTCCTGGCTCAAAGATGAGATCTCTCAGTCTGTTCCCCTAAAGAAAACCACAAGTCCTACTTTTAAACGGAAAACGTTAAAATGAAATGTTTGAACTGGTGGGAAATTTGCTGATCACATTCCCCAAAGATTTAATGTTTCTTGTATTTATAATGACCCAGTGACCTCTAGTGCCACCCTCAGGCTCAATGATTTCATTCTCTATTCAAGCTTTCAGTTCCTTCAACAACAGATCTTTTTGTTGCATGGAGAGTCTGAAGTTATCATTTTACATTGATTTGAGAATGTGTAACTTAAAGGATCACTACTATTACTGGACCGATGTAAATGGTATATGAGAAGATGACATCTAGATATCTGCTGCAAAGGCAACAGGGATGAGACAATTAAAAATGAGTAAATAAATCAACAGAAATCTGAAGAGTGCACAGCTAATAGTGATCATAAGCACTTAAAAGCAGTCGATCTCCCTTAGCCTCCGTCTGTGTGTGTGTTCATTATTAATCCATCCCTCCGTCCATCCGTGGTAAAGATGCAGTGTGACTGTATTGAGGCAGCGTTGAGTGTGTTTATAAGGTGATGACCTGAGCCAATAGCCTGCCTCTCTGCTGTCCATACAGCCAACAAACAATCAATGCAGTAAATGACTGTGAGAATCAGAGGAAACAGCTTCATTTATTATTCTCTGTATGTAAGCACTTTACTGTCTGTCGCTGTTGGACTGCCTGCACACTCTCCTGCCTTTATCCGAGTCTTTGTCCATTTCACATAAACTACTTTATATGATTAAGTGTACATTTTTTTCTAGGTTGTTTATCTTGTGGCCTGAAACTCTTTCCATGTTTACTCTGTTTTACATAATTAAGACACAAAAACTTCCAAATTAGCTTTTTTGTGCTATGCACAAAGATGTTGAGTTTTCTATGATAAATACTATTTAATTTATGCAGTAAACCTTCACATGAGAAGCTGGTGAAAAAAAAAAAACAATCTATGATTAACGCAGTTACAGACTGTATATAAAGACTGTGTGAGGCATGATGGCTTTGCCCATTTGTTTGGGGGAATTTTATAGCCTCATTCTCATATTTTTTGGGTGGGAGGGGGTGGAGGAGATTACTATAATTAAACAGAAATGGTTAGTTACCAACTTTGGTGAGCTCGGTTAGCACGCTGCATTCATAAACTATATGAGTGCAATGCAGAGACATAGACACCTGCTTTTTACTGCCAAGTCGCATCCCAAAAATCATTTTTAGTTCATGCACTATAATGTGAAAATGTTTATTTCTGCTGGATATTTTTAATATGGGAATATATAAGAATGAACTCACTTTGGAGTCAGCCTCAAGTGGACATTAGAGGAACTGCAGTTTCTGGCACATTTGTTTTTCTTTTTTTCCCCCTTTTAATTTTTTTTTTTTTTTTTTAAATTCCAGGAGGTAGCCACTCAGTAAAGTTTGTTTTGTTTTGTTTTAAATAAATGAGGGCTCATAATTATTGTCTACACCAACAATTCTCCTGGGGATGAC